AAGGATGTAGTTGGGCAGTGCAAAAAAACTGGTTTAACCTTTGGTCTGCCATAAAATTCCTGCACTGGATCAAAAAATATACACTGTGAGGAAGGGAATAAGCCACAGTGGTTGTGCTGGTTAAGGAAATAACCAAAATCATCCAAATATAGACACAGCCCTTGTTGCTGGGTGACCACAAGCACGGCACAGGGAATCCAGGGCCTGGATATGTCAGAGATAAAAACCAATCAGTGCTATCAAAATCTGTGATGGAGCCATGGGGACCTTTAAGAGGTCCTTTTCCTCCTCTTCACCACCTGCTCCTCTGAAACACACAGAGGTGCAGCCATTTGGGAGCTTCTGGCAGCAACATGCAGAGTCCCCAGGACCAGGGATGGGACTGGTGAAAAATTCTTCCCCTGCCTTTGCAGCCCTCACTCCCACAGCCCTGCCTGGCTCTGCAGAGCTGTGGTGGCACTGACAGCATTGTGTCTCTTGCTCTCACCTGGTGGGGATCTCCACAGGCACCAGCTCCTTGTCGGGCCAGATGTACTTGATGATAATGACTGCTGTGACATACCATGTGCCAATCACACTGAGGGAGCTGTGAAAGGGAATAGGAGACTGTCAGTGCTCTGCCTCCCCACTTCATGGAGGGTCTCCTCCCAGCCTCTCCATCCCCATCTTCTGGCACAGCCCAGGCTACCCCACTCCTGCCTATCAGACCCATTTCTTGTTTCCCTTCCCATGGGAATATACCAGGAAACGTCACCTGCTGTCCCCCAAGCAGATGCCAACACAATTCTGTTGCATTTGGGGGTTATCCCATCCTTCTCTGAGTGGCAAACCTGCCAGACTTAGGTTTTGGGCTGGAGAAAGAGGCAAGTGTTGAAGCACTGACACTCCTTGGTGCCCCTGCTGGTGCAGCTCCAGCAGCCAGGTCACACCAAGATTCTTGGTGGAGCAGGGCTGGCCTGCAGACCACCCAGCCTAGGGACACTTTCTGGCTCTCCTTTCTGCTGGATTGCCATCTACAAAGATAGGAGACAATGTAGTTGAAAGCAGCATTCCCTGCTTCCTCCAGCATGCAGAAGGGAGGGACACAAGCCCTGAAGTATGACATGTGGCTGCACAGTGCTCAGCCACTCCTCTGCTTCCCAGATAGGGAAACTGAGGCATGGGAAGGCAGAGGATGAGTGGGCAGATAGGGCACTAGAACCACACCATTTCCAGTCCTCGTCCTCTGCAACTGTGCTTAGGTGGGTGCTGGCTGGTCCACCCCAGCTCCCAGCCCCAGAGGGCTCTTCCCACCCACCTGGCATATTTTTGGAAGCCAATCTCTTTGGGGATGGAGAGGGGCAGGATGAGCAGGAAGGCTGTGATGCTGATGGTGAACTTGCGGTCTGTGTACCAGCGGCTGTTCCCAACTTCCTCAGGCTCCTTCACCAGAGCAGCAATGACTGTAGGGACAACCAAGATGGTCACGTTGGCCCTTCCAGCTGAAGGGACAACAACTGGTTATTATTTGCTCCATGGGAGGCACTTACTCTTGTCCTGCTGGTCTCCAATGATGATGAGGAAGGCGATGCAGGTGCCAAAGGTGTAGACAGCGATGGCCACCTCGCACAGCACACCAGGCACCTTCCCACAGACAGCCCATACAACCTCCTGGTAGGTGCGCTCGTTGCTGGCCTGCGAGCAGTACGCCAGGATGACCAAGCCTCCGATGATGAAGATCAGCATGCACTGGGATGGGAGACAGACAGGGAGGGAACACTGAGCCAACAACATGGAGAGGTTCCCTCAGCCACCCCAGGCAGCCACCCCTGAAAACACTGAGAATCTCTGGTGCACCTCACCCAAAGAGATTCTTCCTAGGAGTCTGGTCCTCCCCAAGCCCTTTCTGGGGCACCACATGTCCGTCCCATGCACCCTCCCATGGTGGGATGGGGGACTGTCCCTTCCCCACTCACCATCTGCAGGGTGATGCCCGCAGCCACGCCACCAGCCATGCTGAAGGCAGCGGGGAAGTTGAGCAGCCCAGCCCCGAGAGCAGCGTTGACTACAATGAAGACAGCTCCCAGAGCTGATGTGGCCCCCAGTCCATTTCCTTGGCTCTCTGAATTTTTGGGCACTGTCTCCACACTAGGGCTCTGCAGGAGCCTGGCCCGTTCGCCAGCATCGTCACTCCATTCCCAATCCTTGTAGTCACTGTTGATGCTCCCAGTGCCCTGAGCCATTGTCCCTTCACAGGTGGCACGTGCCACTGTCCACGTCCCACTAGTGCTCCTGCACCAGGCTCAGCCAGGCACCTCGAGGAGGGTCCTCAGCCAGCACTGGCTCCATCAGGCAGGGAGGGCAGCAAACAAACAGGCTGGAATGCAGCAACACGGGAGTCAGGCACTTCCCCACTCCTACAAGGGGATGAAGAATGGCACTGTTAAGTGTTAGTTAAATTATATTAACAAGGGACAACCTGGGCATCAGGTGGGGGCACAGGGGAACTGAGTTCCCTGGGTCTTAGCTTGGAGGGTCACAGCACACACACACCAGCAGAGATATAGCAGGAGAACTCACCTCTTGTCCCTCAAATCCAAGGAGAGGACACAACTGCTCTTGGATAGGGGACTGAGCCCTGGCTGTGGGGCTGAGGAGCTGCACTTTTACAGCAGGATTTGCCTTTCTGTGGACACAAGACCCAATGTCCTGGCTCACTTCCTGATTTCCAGCCCTAATTTCTGCAAGCTCTGCAAGACAGAGCTGAGCACGTGCTCCTGAGTAAAGAGCAAGGCTGGGCTCAACAGGAATGACCTGTGTGCAGCAGAAATACTGTGTCAACAGGAAAAGCAGGACTGGCCCCTTCCTGGGCACCCCCAGGGTGACAACCAGCAGGAGATGGATGATGTCTCAGAAGCTTTTGGATTTGAAGATAATGTGTTTCCAGCATCACAGCCCTTGGGGGTTGGAAAGTCCAAATCTCATCCCAGTGTCTCCGAGGTGGAGGAGATCGACCCTCACAACCTGGCAGGATTTTGCAGGAATCTACATGATCATGAGAAATCTCTTTTCAAGAAAATCTGTTTTTTTTATTCCTAGAGGACATCTACAGAGACTCTACCTGCCCAGCTCACTCCTTGCTTCTGGGCTATTTAAACTCTGTGCTTGAGCTATGAATCCTCTGTAAAGATTTCTGGGGCAGGGGAGGAAGGGCCGCCCTGTGCCGCGTGGGTAGGACCGTGGAGGGACAGGCCGGAGGGTCCGCGTGGGCTGAAGTTCCCACCCGGCCGAGGATGCTGCAGGGGGTCGCTGCTTCTCCCATGGCCTGGGGGAGGATGCTGAAGGGTGGCCTTCCCCTGCAGGCAAAGCCGCCATACTCTGGCAGCCAGAAACCCCGAGAGCAGGCGCTGCACCGAGGGTGACTCGACAGACCCGCGGCGCCCCCCGCCCGGAGCAGCAAGGCCCGGAGCCGGTGACACGGGGCCGCCCGCGCCCGCAGGGGATGCACAGGCTCCTGCCCCGGCCGGTCACTGAGCTCCCCGCGTGTGTCCCCCCGGTCCGTCCGTATCCCGGCCCCACTCACCAGGCGGGGAACGCGCCCTGCTCCGCTCCCTGCGGCCCCGGCCCCAGCCCCGGCTGAGCTCGGCGGCGGCGGCGGCGGCGCGGCGGCGGCTCCGCCCTGCCCGCTGCACGCCGGGGGTTGTAGTCCAGCCCCGGAGGCGGGGGAACATCCTCAAGGGAAACATCCCCCTTCGGGTAGCCCTTCCCAGAGGCTGATCCTGCGGGGACCCACGGCAAGGAGACGGCGAGAGACAGGGCTGTGCTCCAGGATGCTTTTATTGTACAGAGAACGAGCAGAAGAACGGCCCCACGCGGGTAAGAGGGCAGGAGGCGGCAGCTCCAGAGCCACGCAGAACCGGGGACCACAGCACAGGAACCCACAGAGCCGTGGGGCAGCACGTACGGCGTGTGCGGCATGGAAAGCGGTTTATTGCACAAAGGACAGCAAGCAGCGGCTGTGGGCATCGGGCCAGTAAACAAGCGGCGTGGGAGCGGAAACCTTCTGTCAGGGAGCGGCGGGAGGATCCAGCCTTCCAGCAAGTCTGGCAACAACCTGCACTACACCGGGACAGGTGCACCAGACTGGACCTGCCCCAGCTCCAATGGGCACACAGCTGCCCTGGGCAGGAATGGGAAATGAGGACTGCCGTGCTAAATACCCTGGTATAGCTGCAGAGGGAAGAGGTGCCTGTGGATGGAAACAGCTTACAGACTTAAGAGGTAATACCTCCAGCTCTGCCTAAGGAGGCTCCACTCCATCGTGGGGCAGTGGCCAAAGATGGCCCCACATCCCAAGGCAGACAGCTTTTGGGAATTAATCCTCTCGCCAGCAACACCTACGTTCAGCACCACAGGCTTCTATTTCAGCTCCCTGACACCAGCTCACACCTGGACAAGCTCAGTTCACACACACTGTGCTCCTGGGGCCCATCGGTGGGAACTGCCTCCCTACACGGGATTCTCAGGAGATGAGGGTTTCACTGGTCATGTAAGATCCCCTGTGCTAGCATGGCCCTGAGAGAGAATGTTTGGTGCACGGAAGGGACAGGATCCAGCTGCACACAATGACAGGATGAAGTCCCCAGCTCAACATAGCCATGCACCAGTTTATTTAGATTAAAAATCAGAGTCCAGTAAATCACAGGACCTCAGGGACACTTGGCTTAGAAGGACAGAATGGTTTTTGAGTCATCAACTCTCAGATTTCTCTCAAGATCTCTGTTTTCTGGTGTCAGCAGAAATGTGGTTGAACAGAGCAGAGAGGGATGCCCCACACCTCCACATGAGGGGCATACTGCAGGGCCAGGCTCTTGGCTGGCTTTGGGACACGCAACAAATACTGCAGGGAGGGCTGCTGGAGGCAAAGGGCTGGACTGCTGGGCTTAGGACAGGAATGGGGCAAGGCAGAGACCACCAGAGAGCATTTTCAGAGGAGATTGTTATTGGGGGGAGGGGGAGGGGGGGAAGGTGAGAAATTGTTTCACCTCCAGGTATGAAAGTGAGACAGGTTGAAAAGAGGGACACTGGTCTGCCCCACGCACTGATGCCACTGTGAATTACACCTGAAAGGAGAGTCCCAGATGGAAAGAGCGAAGCCAACGACGGAGCAGAGTTTGGTAGTGAGAAGTCCTCAGAGCTGTTTGTCAGAGGACAGCTTTGGTGCTGCACAGCCCCAGGCTGGGATGATGGAGGATGGAGCCTGCTGGCAGCAGGGACTGGCTGAGGAGCTTGGAGGAGCACACCAGTGCAGCCCTCCAACTCAGCCTACCCAGCTCCCTGCCTGCTTCTGCTCGGGCCAGCAGCCAAAAGCCTCACAAAGCCTTCTCATGGAGAAATGTGTGCAGAGAAGCCTTTGGTGCCTACACTGGTAGGAGGGCATTGCTAAGCATTTGCTTCCTCCAGCATAGATAGGTGCCGGGGCTGATGGAGAAAGGATGGACAGCAGGGAAGAACGGCTGTGACGAGCAGGAGCCAGCAATTATGTCCCTGCTCCACAACACAGGATGGATTTGACAAGGCTTCTACAACTCATCTACAAGATACATTCATCAGCGGCTTCAAGTGCTGTGGTTGAAGTATTCTGCTTGTTTCTTTTCCCTCCTCATCTTCGACTGGTGAGGAAGGGAAAGCCACCAGCTCCAGGCACCCCTTTGTCTTTACTTTGTGACTTGATGGATGGCATGGGCCAGGTAACCCACGTTGCCTGACGTAACTCCCGCCACAGAGATGCGTCCGTCCTTTGTCATGTACACTGAGAACTCCTTGATCAGCCGCTCCACCTGGGATGAAAGAGCAAAGTTCAAACTGCAGGCCAACCTCTGCTGTGTCAGCAAAGTGCAAATTTACCCAGCTTGCTGAAACTCAAAGCAAGCTGGCTGCCAGCAGACAGGGCATCCCAGTACCTGCAGAGTACCCTGTGTACCAATGGAGATGCTGCTCAGCTCTCGGGCCAAGCAGCAACACTGCAGATGTTCAGCTGGAAGAGTTACCTCACTTGAGCTGACCTTTAAGGTGACTTCAGAGCAGCACCAAGTGACTGCTTGCTTTGATAGATATGACAGCTACATTTACTTTCAACTTCCCCAAGTACAACAGGGAACAGAGCAAGACTGGGGTCCCCATGATGTGCCAGTGCTTAGGGCTTGGAGAATGCTCCTTCTGAGAAGTGGAGCATGCTTACAAGGGCTCATTTTGGCATCTGCAGTCAAAAACTTACTGACAAGGACTGCAAACGACACTTAGAGACCACTGGAATTGCATTTACCTGCTCAGGCTTCAGCCCTGTGAAGCAGAACATGCCAATCTGGTCAGTGATGTGCTGCCAGTTGTGGGAGGATCCCTCTTTCTTGAGGTTGGACACCAGCTGAGTCCTCATGCTGATGATCCGGTCAGCCATGCCCTTCACCTCTGTGAGCCTGAGGAGCCAACCCAGGAACCATTCAGAGCAGGGCTAGAACACATCAATGTTGCTCTCCCCACCTCAGCTATCGAAAATGAGCCTCTCCATCTGGAGGGGCCCCATAGAGGGATGAAGATGAGCATGAAGATGTAGCTCCAGCTGGGGGAGCTGCTTTATTCTCCTGATACCAGAAGATGACCTCTTTTTATTTATTCCATTGCTGTTGGGCACTACTACCAGAATATAGACATTTCTCACATCTGAAAGCCACAGGTCAGTAGGATGCCTGATGGCAGCACTACTCAAACCCAGATAAAACAGTATCTACAGATAAACCAAGAGTGCAGGGGTAGCATTGGCAAACAGGCCCTGCTCCAAAGCAGCACAGCTAGGAAATATCTCTGCTGGGCACTGGATCAGGCACAAGTGTCAGACTGCCAGAAGAACACAGCCCCCAGGGGCTGGGAAAACAGCACAGCACAGCCAGGAATCAGGCTTAGGGCATGAGGGTTACATTCCTGGGTCTCATTCCCAGAGAGCTTATGCTTCCACTTCCTCCTCCACATGAGACACACTACATGGCTACCACCTCAGACTTTTATGCTTCTTGGATAGGCAGCTCCTGCTGCCCTCAATCCTTCGGGAGCTATAAAATCCCCTCCTTTACACAGAGTTTTCTTCCTTGGTAACACTAGAAAAACCTGTTTGTGTCAGGTGAAACTGACACCAGCTGATGCCAGGACATAAGCAGGGATTTCTCCAGAGCAAACAAGGTTCTGACTGTTGCTGAAGCTAAGAGCTGCCTGTGACAGCAGCACACAGTAGGCACAGCACAGGACTGCACAAAGAGACCTCAGTGTCATGAACATTTCAGAGTTCTTCTTACCATTCCTTCCGCAGGTCAGGGGTGTTCAGGATCATGGAGGCAATGCGGGCTCCGTTCACAGGTGGGTTGGAATACATGGGGCGGATGAGGATCTTCAGCTGGGACTCGACCCTCTTGGCTTCATCTGGATCACTGCAGATCACTGTGAAGGCACCTGCACGCTCTCCTAAGAGAGTCACAGAATATCTAGAGTTGGAAGGATCACTGAGTCCAGTTTTTGGCCCTGCACAGAACAACCCCAAGAATTCCACAATTCCTGTGTCTGACAGCATTGTCCAAACACTCCTTAAGCTCTGTCAGGCTTAGTGCTATGACCACTTCCCTAAGGAGCCTGTTCCAATACCCAGTCACCCTTTAGGTTAAGAACCTTTCCTGAATATCCAGCCTAAATCCTCCCTGACACAGTTCTATGTCGTTCCCTTGGGTCCTGTCACTGGTCACAGAGAGCAGATGCTGCCCCTTGAGAGGAAGCTGATGCCTGTGATGAGCTCTGCCCTCAGTCTTCTCTTCTCCAGGCTGAGCAAGCCAAGCGTCCTCAGATCCTCCTTGTATAGCTTCTCTTTAGACTTGGACACTCTCTGAAAGCTTTATATCCTTCTTATACTGTGGCACCCAACACCACAAAGCTGTAGGGGATCCCTGTTCTCCAGAAGGGTCTCCACCAGCTCCTAATGGGTTATCCCTGCTCAGTACAGCAGGATGAACACAGGCAGCAGGAAGACACTGGCTGCTAAACCTTGAAGGCACTGGGATCCCACCAGCAGCCTGGATGAAATGATTTCCTTGTCACGTGTCCCACTCACCGTACAGCCCCATGTTCTTGGCGAAGGACTGTGACAGGACGATGTTGATGCCCTGCTCGATGAAATACCGCACAGCCCAGGCATCCCGGTTGATGTCCCCGCTGGCAAAGCCCTGGTAGGCCATGTCAAAGTACACGAGGAGGTTTCGTTTCTGCCAGCAAAGATGGAAGAGAGTGTCACAGAAGCTGAGCACCCCTCTGCAAGGAGCAGGGCTGAGAAAAGCCAGGCAGACAGCGGTCTGTCCACCTGCAGCGACTCTCCTTCAGAAAGAGAGCCATTCCCCTTCATTCACCACAGGGAAAGCAGCCCAAAACCTGCAGCTACCCAATACACATCAAAACAGCAGCTAAAGATCCTCTAGGGCATTTATGGGATGTGCAAGTCTGGCCCAGGAAGCAGAAGTAAATACAACAGTACTAAAATAGTCTGCTTAAATGTCTTCTGTATTATCAGTTTCCAGGAAAATCACCTGGGAACTCCCTAGTCAGCCCTACGCAGATACCCCAGATACACTGCCCCTTAGATCTACCCTTGTGTAGGCCACAGAGATCACTTAGATATCTACCAATTCTCAGAACCCTACCAAGGCCAGGTATCTCCAAGCCAAATTTCACTGGCTACAGGCTTGATGGAGCAGCAGGAAGGAGAAGGCAGAACCTTCCCTTTCTATTTGCAGCTGAAGCTTGCAAGGAGACACCAGGCATGTGAGAGATCTTCCAGCATTTTTAATACAACAGCACTGGGTGCTCCGCTCCAGCAATCACAGCTCATGCTTTCAACCCTGCTGCTCTCCTTTCAGGTCTCCCTACTCCAGCTTCCTGGGAAGGTGCCAGCAGAAAGCCCAATGGTCAGCTAGAAGCTTTCTGGGTACACTTGGCTGGCTCCTGTGAGGAACCTGATACCCATCCTGCCTTCAGGAAAGGGAATAACCTTTAGCAAAGCAAAGACCAGGTGCCACCCATGAAAGGCCAGAGATGTGGTTTGCCCGGGAATGGGCACAGTACCCCTGGGACATTGCTTACCTTCACTGTAGCTGCCAACTCCTTCCACTGCTCCTGCCGGGGATCCACCCCAGTGGGGTTGTGAGCACAAGCATGTAAGAGGATGATGCTCTTCTCTGGAATTTTCTAAGGAAGATGTTACAAAGAATGAATCATCAGTGATATCTGAGCATTCTCCTCAGCAGATGAGACAGCTTAGATGAGATCTGTGAGGCTTCTAGCCTTGATTTAATGCCTTCAGGCAACATAAAATGATAGAATATTCTGAGCTGGAATGGATCCATAAGGAGTCCACCTCCTTGGCCCTGCACAGGACAACTCTGAGCAGCACACTATGTGCCTGAATTGTTCAAACATTCCTTGAACCCTGGAAGACTTGGTGCCATGATAACTTCCCTTGAGACTCCATCTGAGTGCCCAACCACCCTCTGGGTGAAAAATCCTTTCCTAATATCCAGCCTAAACCTTCCCTGACACAGCTTCATGCTGCATGGTCACATATAGGGTAAAGTAATATCACCACCCGTTTCCCCACGTGACCTCCCTTCTTCCAGGCATGGAAGGCAACTCACAGAAATGTCATCCATGGCTCCAGAGAAGTCAAGGCTGCACGTCTTGGGGTCATAGTAGCGATAAGCCTGAAGCTGCATGCCGGCATCACGGAAAATGGGAGTGTGGTTGCCCCAGGATGGTTTGGGTAGATACACATCACGGCTGGCTTTGAAGAATCGTTGCTGGTCAATAGAAAAACAGAGTGTTCAAACAGGTTGTATACATACTGGCAGTTAGAAAACCATAAAAATTCAGCTCTGGTCAAAATATGTCCTTTCCTTCCACTGCTGGCTAGGCACTCACCAAAAAATTGGCTCCAATTCGCAGAGATCCAGTCCCAGAAATACCCTGCACAGTAACATACTGCAAGAAAAAAAAAAAATCTGAGTAGCCGTGTTGTGTCACAGGGAGAGCACAGTCACTATGTCAACACTGGCAGCAGCACACCAAAACAGGGACAAGGGGCTGGAGGGACCACAGGGGTCAGCATCTATCTCCAACTCCAGGGGGGGAGTTGGGCCCCCTGGCAAGGTTAAATCCCCTCCTTGGACAGGGCTGTTTCACCCCAGCCTTCAGAGGAAGCAGTGATCCTTGGGGCCAGCCAGCCCACAACTCAGAAGCATCAATACCCCAGCAGTTCTTCCACATTTGCAGAGCACCCACACACAAACCGTGTGTCCTCCCTGCCCCTGTGTCCCGGCCTCTCCTTACCCGGCCGCTCTTGAAGGCCTCACTGTTTTCCCCCAGAGCCAGTTCTGCAGATGCCCGGGTGAAATCCGCCAGTCCCCCGATGGGCAGGTACTCCTTATCCATCTTCTTGGATGCTATCATGGCCTCTGCCTGGAAGGGAGGGCACAAGGTCAGTGAGGAAGGCATCACCATGGAGACAATGATGGACAGCTGAAGGTCACTCCTCTGCACATTTGCTTGCTCGAAAGGGGCAAAGGTTGGTTTACAGGAGTTTCTCTGCAGGGCTCATTCCAAGCAAGGGGCAGCAGTCAACATTTCAGATAAAACCCCACAGCCACCAGAGCCCTCAGTGGGTGACAGTGTTGGTACCGTGGAGCCAAGGAAACCTGGCACCAGAAGAAAGCACCACTTCCAGCCCATTACAAGTCAATGCTCCTGCACAAGGACACACATGTCTTTGCCCAAGCAGGAATTGTCCTGCAGGAAAGCAAGACTTGAGTGCTACTGAGAGGTGGATATCATCTCTATGTAGGATACATCCCCAAACCAGGTAGGGTAGCAAACCTTTTGTAGGGCCTTGTCATGCTGGAAGTGGCACAGATCCTGGCAGCATTCACATGCCACCAGGAAACTGTCCCTGTGACACCAGCCAGGCTCCCTGGTTGTGACCCAGCTGCACAGAGAGAGGGAGGGCAAGGGAGGGCTTTAAACCCCTCACTGATGAGACACATGGAAAAGGCACTCTCCCTGCCAGTGCAGCCAATCAATGCATGTGTCAGCTGCCAGCTATTTAACAGCCTATTTCTACCCCTACAGCCCTAAAAGACCCCATAATCCCTTCAAGGGCAATGTCCACACCCTGGGCTGGAGTTTTAGACTGGCTTATGGAGAAACTGGTAGTATCGGCTCAGCAGAATTTCTAAGACTAATCCACTAAGGGGCCAACGTCAGCTCCTTCCTCCCTTGTGGGGTGCCCTAAAGAACATCAGCCTGTTCAAGAAACACCTTGAAATTCAGAGAACAGGTGCATTGCAGGGCTCATAGAAGTCAGCAACAAGTTAAGAGTTACCTGAATGGGAAAAGGACATGTATTTTCTGTTTTGTCCTGTACAACTTAATGGCTCTGTCATGTCTCAAAAGCATTAGTCCTGCTAAGGGAGACATCCAGGAATACTGTCCTGCTCTGTTAGAGACAGAGCTTACTTTAAGGATCAACAGACAAAACTTGCTTAGGGACCTTCCCCTTCCCTGCCTCCCTGAGGGTACCTGGCACCTGGATGTGGCCCTGCCCAGCAGCCAGCTCACCTTGCGAACACAGTTCAGGACATAGGGCTTCCCGTTGTCATCCCGATACGCCCCCACGCCCAGGTTCATCTTCTTGGAGTTGGTGTCACGCTTGTAAGCTTCTGTCACCCCCAGGATGGGGTCGGGGGGACCCATCTCCACGTGGGACCACCATGAGCTAAAGGGAGAAACAAGAAGCTAAGCATGAGGCTTGAGAACTGGGCAGAGATGTGCACCAACAGAAACCCACAAGGGAAATCTTGTCTTTAAACCACTGTAAAAGGTACAAATAGTGTTCAGAGAGTTATCTAAAAAACCAAACCAAACCATTTAAGTCACATTGTGTATTACAGAATGGGCAAAGAGCCTCAGTTCATTGTGGCTGAAGATAACTGACTCCCTCTCAGTCATTAGCATGTTGAAATGCTCCTGTTTGCCTTATGTGCTAACACCACACACAGAGCCCAGGAAACTGGAGCCTTGAACTCTCATGCTCTGGACAAGTGCCCAGAGCCTGCACGTGGGATTGCACAGGTCATTCCCCTCCAGGGAACCTTGGCCAGACCCAGGCAATTGCACAAAAGCATGAATATGGAGTCTGTTCCAAACTCCTGGAAAGGCTGTAGTACATGAAAACCAATTTGTTTTTCTCCCAGCATTGGCTGACAAAATAAAGGTACTTCCACTCTTTGCCCAACAAACTCTGCCTCCCCTGGTGTTGTAGACAAATGCTGTTTTCCAGGAAATCATAGAAGACAATTTGTTCCCTGAGTGACAATGACAAGCTCTGATGTGAAGACCCTTCCCCTGCTGTCAAGCACAAAACCTCCCTGCATCAGGAGGAGCTTTGTGTTTCCCCAAAACAAGGAGCCACCTGCCTCTGCCCGGCTGGCAGCACACCCTGAAGATGGAGAGGCTCTCTTAATGTCAAGGGCAGAGCAGACCAGGCTATAAAAAGAAACCTGTTATTTCCTTTGGCCAGAGTCTCTGCTCTGTCCCATGTCCAGGCTTTGCAGGCCTGCAGACAGTGCAGGAGCAGCAGTGTGGTGTTTTTTAGCCTGGCAGAGGGATTTGGCTGTCACAGCCCCCTCCTGAAGGCACTGCATGCAGCTCTGAGTGTCCTGACTCAACATACAGGTCCCCCAGCTCAGTGGGGAACAAAGGGTGCAATACAAAGTAGATTGGGTTATCTCCTGGAGGACAGAACTCAAGCCTTGATTGCTGAAGGAGAAACACACAGAGAGCCATATCAGCTTTACTATGCTGTGCAGCCCAGGAAAGGCTATGTCATCTGATAAAGAGATCCTTTCCCAACTTGGGAATGCTGTCCTGGGGCTGGTCCGTGCCCCAGGCAATGCAGGCAGCCTGGAGCCAGCCCAGGGCCAGCCAGACCTCCTGTTAAAGGTGTAGTGCAGACTCTGTAGGCAGATACAGATCTGTGGGCAGTGGGGCCATGAAGGTTAAGGAAGCTGTCACTGATCTGCAGAACTCACACAATCATCTTTCCTCTCCACTCTGTCCCTGTTTTAGGTCCATTTAGGCCACATTTCCTTACTACAGAAAAATTTTGCACTCTCCCATGTATATAGATTGCATCTCATGGAGCCTCAATCATTTGCCCTCTTCAGACTAACTTCAGACAATCCTCTGTACACAACTTCCAAATTTTAAAAAAAGCCAAGCCTGTTACTCCTTTTGACAGGCTTTGAGGAAGAGGTAGAGCCACCTCAGGTAGTTTAAAAATGGAAGATGTGCTTAACGTTTTTTAGACCACCAACTAGTCTTAATTACCTCTTAAGTATAGGATTAGCTTGGAAAGGAGGATGAGTCAGAGATGCCAGCAACACACACCCTCCAGAGAGGGACAGGGGCTGCAGCCAGTGTGGAGGGAGTGACCTGGGCAACCAACCTGAGCAGGACACGTCAAGGGGACTGTCAGGGCAAACTCCTGCTGCGGGTTCGGGCAGCTTTGGACAAACACCTCCCAACGTGTTCCTGGCAATTCAGAGGCAGGGAAAGAGAGAAACAACATGCAGTACTGTGGCTTTCTTCAGTTTACCTGGTTTAGGATTATTTTGGTATCAAGGGCTGCAGGAGCCTGGCTATCTATTTTAAAGAGCTGCTGCTTTGGAGATGGTGACAGCACCTTCTTTCTGCTGGGCTTTTCCCCAAGCAGCTTACAGTGTTTGGGGAATTTAGGTCCTGATCCTGCTAAGGCTTAGGCAGGTCACTGAGCTCTAACATACTGCAATTAATGCTGATCCTGCAGGCATTTACCTAAGCTGCAGCACTCCAGAGAGTTAAGTACCTTTGTTCTGAGCCGGTTTTTGTGTTGGCTTAAGGCACCAATGGGGTAGGTTTAGGACTTATTTTCCTGCTCTCAGCATGAAGGTTTCCAGGCGAAACAAAACTCCTCTGGTTTCTCAGAGAGGCGAGCTTGCAGGGAGACAGGAAAAAAAGCCTAGGCTGAGTTGTCCAAACACATCAGGATACCAAAGAGATCACAGAGGCAAAGCTTTCCCAAAGGGGTTTGGGAAAAATTGATCTCCTAGGGGTCCAAGGCCACAAACCCTAACACACTGCTATGCCCCCTAACTGTTGTCCCTCCATTGCCTTGCACTTTATTTTGAGCAATTAAAAGAACATTGGGCTTGAATAAAGGTCAAAGCTATAAACTGCACATCTCTGCCAGGCCTGAGGTATTCAGTGCGGAAAACTAACCAGAGGTAAACTTAAGCTGGGTTGAACTACCTGAGGGATACTCCATGTAAGCCAAAGGAGGCACATTCTCCAGCTACAGGACTTCCACCCAGAAGGCCCAGTCAGAGTTTAGATGCTCATCAGAGCTCCAAATAGTCTCTGTACTCTTCAGCCATGCTGGTCTTCTGAGCTGGTTTAAAGCTCAACTGCGAGTGCAGTGGGACAGAGAAGGTGGAAAAATGAGCCAGGAATTGCATAAATTTGCACATTTTTCAAAAATATATGTGGAACTTATGCCTCAAGTGCACAGACCTAAGAAGTGCTTAAGGACTCAAGCCAAGCCCGGAGAGCAAGCATTTACAAGCCCAGTGAAGGTTTCCATTGTGGAGAGGCCAGCCCACATTCCCTGAGGCACAGCCACATAAGATCCCAGATTTCAGAAGCTTTGCCAGAGCCCCCACAGCAGTTCTGCAAGACAGAGCAGAGCAAGGGGCCAGAGGGGCCAAAGGCTGCACGTAAACCACAGCTAAAGCAAATATTTACACATGAACAATGCCAACAGGCTGCTGGCTACTACAGGATCTTTCAAGCCTACAAATTCCTTGCCCCAGAGATTTGGGATAAGCTTTCCACCAAGAAAAGTATTTAAATAGCTGTCTTGTGATACATCAGAGCAGCAGACTGAATTATCATCCTAATTAGCATTTGTGTGTAAACGGAGCCGTTTTAACCATTTCATATCTCTTAACCTCTGTTCTGCTTTCAGAAAGAGCATTCCCAGCACAGATTAATGATAGCAGCTGGAGCACCACATTACATTGCTGAAGATAAGGAAACAGAAACTGCTAATCAGTGCTTGGCTTCCTTTGTTGCATAATAAGCCACTATTCCTGAAGGGAAAGAGGGGGCTGTGCACAGAGATTCCTTACAAAACTTAACAACCTCTTTTGGGTGACCTCAATGCAATTTGATAATTTACACTTTGCTGTAGAACAAGCTTGAGAAGAGCAAAGCTTATGCCAGCAGGCTCCATACCTTTCACAGGCCTGCTATAGTCCATGGGCAAAAAACACAAGTTCTAGACAGCTGCTCTTCTGTCCCTGCTGAGAAGAGCCACAAGGCTGGCTTAGAAGCAGTAGTGACTGCTGGAATAGGCATTTTAAAAAACCACTGCTTTCCTGCTCTGATGTAGGCTGGAAACTTTCTTAGAGACCTCTCCACTAGTGTGGGCCAGGAGTCAAAGAGTTCTGGAGAGCAGCAAGGCCTCATCCAGATCCTTCTGCACACTCTGCTTCTTGGCCACCTGGTCTCAGTGATGTTCCCAGCCCCATGGCTCTCAGGTCAGCTGTACTTTATGGAAACTTGGATGTTCTGGGCTTTTCACACAGCTCCAGCATCCTTCTATCCAAACCTCTGCTGACCAGAGACAGCAGAATCCAGAGCTGGCAGTGCAGGACTGGTGCTCACAGAAACAGTCACTCCCAGCCTGCTCCTGCCAGGGTTTGTAACTCTGAGAGCACAGCTCCAGCACAGCCAGCACTACTCCCACCCCATTTCATGGATCATGGGGTCACTGGAATCCCTTTGGTCTCACTACACAGGGCAGCCAGACAGCACCACCTCAGCCCCATTTTACAGTACACAGAATCCTGGAATGGTTGGAAGAAACCTGAAAGACAGACATTGTCCAAACCCCTGCCATAGACAGGGGCACGTTCCACTAGACCAGGATGCTTCAAGCCCTGTCCCACCTGGCCTTGAACACTTCCAGGGATGCAACAGGCAGTTTCTCTGGATAACCTGTGCCAGGGCCTCACCACTCTCACAGGGAAGAATTTGTTCCTAATATCTAATCTACCCTGCCCCCCGTCAATTTAAACTCTTTCTCCCTCGTCCTGGCACTCCATACCCTTGTCAAAAGTCTCTCTCCAGCTCTCTTGTAGCCCCTTTAGATACTGGAAGGCCACAATTAGGTCACTCCAAAGCCTTCTATTTTCCAGGTTGAATAAACCCAGATTTTTCACTCAGCCTTTCCCCACAGAAATGATGCTCCATTCCTCTAATCATCTTTGTGGCCTCCTCTGGACTTGCTCGAACAGGTCGATGTCCTTCTTGTGCTGGGGCCCCAAAAGTGGATGCAGTGCTGCAGGTGGGGTCTCAGCAGAGCAGACCAGAGGGGCAGCATCCCCTCCCTTTACCTGATGCCTGCACTGCCGGTGATGCAGGCCAGGACACTGTTGGTTTCTGCGCTGCGAGCGCACATGGCCTGGGCACGTCCAGCCTCTCATCGACCACATCATTCGTGCCCCGAAGCAGAACGTACATCACTAGCAGCACCCCAGCCAATCACTCAAGGCAGAGGGTGTCCCCAGCCCATCGGTCACGGCACAGGGTGTCCCCAGCCCGTCGTTAAAGCACAGGCTGCCCCCGGCCCCGTTTCTCGGGGCTCCCCGGTGCCGACGCGCCCTCCACGGCGGCGCCTCAAGGGCAGGCGGGGGGCGCCGCGCTGGGCCGCAGCCAATCAGAGCGCGAGGACCCCCCTCCCCAGCCAATCGGAGCGCGGTCCGTCCCCCCGGCAACCCCCATCCCCAGCGCATCGTCAGCCGCGGGCCGCACGGGGGAACCCGCTTCCCGCAGCCTTCCCCCCACCGCCACCTTGGAGCGGGGCTCAGCCGCGGGAAAACCCCTCCGCCGACACCGGCCGGCGGCCCTAGGGGCTGAGCCACCTCTCAGCCCTCACCTGGCGCGGGAGGCGGCGGCGGCGAGGCGCGGGGCGGCGAGGAGCCGGCGGCTGTGCAGGAGCGCCATGGCGGCAGCGGCAGTGGTGGCAGCGGCGGGCGGGCACTTCACACCACGGGCGCCGGCTGAGCGCCCCGCCCCGCGCATGCGCCGCCGCGCCCGGGCACCGCCCGCCCTGCCCCCTGGTGGCCGCCACGGGTCAGTGCAGCCGCGCCGCTCGGTCCGGGGCTGTGCTGGGCGGTAGTGGGCTGTGCTGGGCGGTAGTGGGCTGTGCTGGGCTGTACTGGACTGTGCTGGGCGGTAGTGGGCTGTGCTGGACTGTGCTGGGCTGTACTGGGCTGTGCTGGGCGGTAGTGGGCTGTACTGGGCTGTGCTGGGCGGTACTGGGCTGTGCTGGGCGGTAGTGGGCTGTGCTGGGCGGTAGTGGGCTGTGCTGGGCTGTACTGGACTGTGCTGGGCGGTAGTGGGCTGTGCTGGACTGTGCTGGGCTGTACTGGGCTGTGCTGGGCGGTAGTGGGCTGTACTGGGCTGTGCTGGGCGGTACTGGGCTGTGCTGGGCGGTACTGGGCTGTGCTGGGCGGTAGTGGGCTGTGCTGGGCTGTACTGGACTGTGCTGAGCTGTACTGGACTGTGCTGGGCTGTGCTGGGCTTTGCTGGGCTGTACTGGGCGGTACTGGGCGGTGCTGGGCATTACTGGGATATGCAGGACTCGACTAGGATGTAGTGGACCGTGCTAGGCTGTACTGGGCCATCCTGTACCATGCAATACTGGCTGTACTGGGCTGTCCTACATTATACTGGGCTGTAGTAGGCTGTACTGGGATATGGAGGACTCAACTAGGACATGGTGGGACATACTAGGCTGGGCTGGACCATCTTGTACCAGGCTATACTTGGCCATACTGGGACATACAGTATGGTAATGAGCTATACTAGGCTGCACAGCGCTGTACTTGAGCTGTATAGGACTGCACTGCACCATATGGAGCCATAAAAGTCTACCCAGGGCAGTCTTGGGCCACAGTGAGCTATACAGGATTGTAACACACTCTATGGGACTCTGCAGGGATATACGGGGCTGTACTTGGTCATATAGAGCTGTACAGAACTGTACTAGGCCATAACTAGGCTGTATTGGCTGTACTTTGTTGCCATGTGCCATTCTGGGCCATGTGGAACTGTAAAGGTCTGTACTGGGCTGTGCTTAGCTACACAGGACTGTACAACACCACACAGGTCTGTATAGTGTGGTACTGGTCCATACAGAAATGTATTGAGCCACAGAGGGATATACAGGGCTGTGCTGGGCCATGCTGGGCTATGTGAGGCTGTGCTGGGCCATATGGGACTGCACTGTACCATACTGGGCTGTTCTGAGCCATAATGAGCTGTGTGGGATTTTACTGGGCCATAGTGGGCTGTACAGGGTTGTACTGGGCTGTACATGTCCAGCTGGGACTGCCCTGCACCATCCTGGGCCATACAGGTCTCAGCTGGGCTGCCCTGGTCAGTACAGGAATGGGAAAGGTTGCACTGGGACTCCGCCAGCATCGTCACCCTGGGACTGGTTTCCAAAACTGGGAGTGGGGGAAACAACCCTTGGGATGTCCCAGAGGCTTTGGCAGCATATGGGAGGGGTGAATGAGAGGGATAAATTGGAGGTACAGTGTCCCCACCCAGTTTGTCTGCACTCTGCTCCCCAGGCATTTTCCAATGACCCTCATTCCATAGGGGCTTTCCCAAATCCCACCCAGCAGCCATGTCCTCTGTGGGATCAGAGTGTGATATCCCCCTCCTCCCTGTCACCCAGCAGCCCACCATGGGATGGAGAAATAGGGGCTTCAGTCTAGCAGTACTTGAATTTATTAGTAAACTGTTCTTTGGTAAATGATAAAAACTCAAGAGACCAAAGGAATGAAAACAACACCCCCGCAAAGAAAAAAAAATCGTATCATTAAACAAATCAGGCAGATGGGAAAAAAAAAAGTTTTCCCCCCCAAATGGGATTTTAGCAACCTACAGCAAACCCAAGAGATGCTGGGGGAGCTCTGCAGTGATGGGGGCTCCCCTTTGTGCTTGTTTTCGGGGAGGAGGAGCGTGGGCTGTGTATATGGGGTCCTACATGGGGGGCTCATTGCAGAGCACCATCTCCAGTTCCTTGCGGTAGAGTTTGCCCCCGTCGGAGAGGTTCATGATGCTCTTCCTGTAGTTGGTGAGCTGCTGGATGTTCATCTCCTGCAAAACATGGGGAGCACTGGGGGTGGGCATCCCTTTCTCCCCAGGGAGTACCCCCAGGCTGAGATCACACTCCCCCCAGTTCCAGTGCAGCTTCCCATGAGGATGCAGGGTCAGCACTGAGACCAGCATCTCCTGGTCCCCATGGAGCATGGACAGGGAAAGATGGTGCTGGGAGATGGGAGAAGGAACTGGGGGGCTCTGGGGGTGGCACCCAAGCTCTGCCCCGACTTACTTTCTTATTCTTCTCATACAGGTCTTTCAAAAGTGCATCCAGCTCGTTCTCATCAATGAAGCCATTTCCATCCTGGATAATGTGGGAGGCACATCAACAGCAGGAAGGACACAAGGACACAAGGCCTGCAATTCCCCCTTGGACATGGGCATCCTCAGACCCTCACCCAGCACAGCCAGAGGTAAACCCAGTTCTCCCACCCCAAACCAGAGCAGGGAATTGCCCCAACCAAAGCCATATGATTTGGGGTGACTTTTTGCCAGGTTACATTTATCTGGGGTGGTTTCCCATGAGCTGGCTCCCTACCTTGTCATAAAAGGCAAAGATGGCATTGAACTCATCTGAGGACAGCTTCATTCCCTGGGAAGTGACAAGGGAATGAGAGAGGTACCCGGGTATGAGAGAGGGGTTGGAGGTACAAACAATGGGAATGGGCTGTTTTTGTTGTTATTTTTAGCAGTAGGAGTAGTATCATGTTACCTGAAACTTCAGAAGAAAGTTTTCTTGCACAGGCAAAAGTCTGAAAAACACAGAGGGCAGGGAAGAGGGGGAAGCAGCCAGAAAGAGGCATTTTCTTAAATCCCAGTGATGTTTTGCTCAGAAACATGAGTAAATAAAGAGGAAAACAGTTTTCCCTGGAAGCTGGAGCAGACTTTTCCCAAACATGAGCATTTCAGGTGTCTTTCCCCCCCCAGCTCTTCCTTCTCGCTGCCCGTGACCTTACCGGGACATCTCGGAGAGGCCCAGCTTCCCATCACCGTTCATGTCAAACATCCGCAGCTGTGGGGACACAAACAGCACCCAGTCACCCATCACCTCCTCCTCCCCTGCCTGCCACCCCCCTGGGGTGCTGACAGCCCTGGTGGGGACACAGTGCCCCAGGTCCCACTCACAATGGTCTGTGTGTACTCCTGCAGCTTGGGCTCGTCATAGGGCCGGTTCGCCTTCTTCAGCAGGTCCGACAAGAAGCCCTGGGAGGACAGGGTTTTGCTGGCTGTCCCCATCCCTGGCTGTCCCAGCAGGGATGTCCCACTGGCAGGGACCCAGCCCAGCCCACCCCATGCCCACAGCCCACCTTGAGCTCGTTGGCTTCGATGTAGCCGCTGCGATCCGTGTCGTACCTGCGCCAAGCCTGCGGAAGGACTGCCGTGAGCCTCTGCAGGGGTTCGTGTCCCCCACTCCCCCCTGATGTGTGTGTGTGTCCCCATAAACCCCTGCTGAGGGTGTCCCCCACCACCCTAAAGGAGATGGGGCCATGTCACAGCTCCCACTGGCATCATCTGCTCTCCCTTGGGGCTAGATGCTTTTGTTCAGCCCGCACCAAGAGTTCAAGCACCTTTATCCTCATGTCAGTGTGCAAGACTAGACTTTAATATTTAATAACATTTAATTGCATGCCCCAATTGAACCATAGTGTCCGCTTACCCCCCCCCCCCCCCCCATATCACACGGTGCTCCTCTTTCAGCCTTCCCCTCCACCCAGGGTTCAGCTTCCATGTACAAGCTCCTTCCTCTTCAGGATGCTGCACATTCCCTTCCACTCCCAGCTATGTTTCATTCCCCATCTGCAATTTCTCTCCCACCTGTGTGGGTTCACCCCATGCAAGGGTGCAGTGAGGTTGAGGGGTGGCCCAGAACAGTGTTGACTTTGGCACATCGCTGGGGCACTTAGGAGCAGCCATGAGGGGAAGTTTACAAAAAAAGCCCCAGATTCTTGCAGCTCACCTTGCCTGGAGGCTGGGATGAGGCACCCAACTGCCCTGAGAAGTATCCAAGGGGTGCTGAGAACTGGGAAAACTCACCACACTCCTGCTCTTCCCTAAACCAGCACTGCCTCCCAGTGCTGAGTTATTGCCAAGGGTTTTGGGGAGACCAGGGGAGGTTTGGGCAGTTCAAGCTCCCAGTTGTTTTCCCTTGGTGGAGCTGGTTGAATTCCCTGGGGATCCCCCAGAGCAGCCTGTCCTACTCACCTCCATGAACTCTGAACTGGAGCCCACATGCTGGCGGAAACACAGCAGAAAATTCTCCTCTGTGGGCAGGATCTGGGCCAGCTGTGGGGAAACACAGGCATGGTAGAATGGTGGAGAGGAAACATGAGCATGGGGGTGGAACATGAACAACCTGGGGTTTGTCAGGTCCAGCACCGCTCACCTCTGCCATCTCGATTTTGCCATCCGCATTTTTGTCATATTTGTGCATAAACTCCTTCATCTTGTCACCTAAATTGTCCTTCTTTGAGTCCTGCCAGCAAGGAAAGAGAGAATGGGAGAATTTTCCCCATTCCCTGTGCTGATCTTCTCCTGCTTTCTTCCCAGAGGAGTCCCAGTCCCACTCATGAGTGCCCAAAGGAGGTGGGGCTGACATGAGTGTGAGTCTTTGGGCACAAGGGAGCAGGGGAAGGAGGGAGCAAAACCAGAGGATGCTCTTACCACACCCGCCCCCTTTCTTGCACTTTCCAGCTCCTGGAAGAAATTTTCCAGCTCTTTGCCTTCAATGTAGCCATTTCCTGCGGGAGGAAAAAAATGCAGTAGGACTTCCACAGTGTCAGAGCACAGGAGGAGAGGGACAGATGCTCCCAGGGGACAGAGCACTTGTTCCCTCTGCACCAGGACATGGCTCCAAGGCA